AGAGGCAGAGACACAGGCAGAGGAAGAAGCAGGCTCCATGTAGGGAGCCTGATGTGGGACTCGATTCCCGGTCTCCAGGATCATGCCCCGGGCTGAAGGTGGCACTAAACCCCTGAGCGACCCAGGCTACCCAACAGCTTAGTTTCGAGTGACCTGTAAACAGCCTTCCATAGCCACATTAAGAGCCAAGAAGGGGATCCTTACCTGTATTTTAACCTTATTGGTTTCCAACTTCTTAAATTGTGGAATTTTTTCATTTTCATTAATAGTTCTGTGATATAGGCAGGACAAGATTACTATGTTCATATTGCAGATGAGAGAAGTGACACCTGGAAGCAATTTAATGACTTAACCTCACGTCAAAATGTCAGTAAACAGTGATCTAGGGTTAGAACTTGGATCATTTGTCATGTCTTCATTCACGTTACAGTATCCCAGTGATCACGCTAACTTAGAAATATTAGTTCTAGATCCAACCAAATTAATGAAGTGCTACATATTTACTGTGCTACTGACAACTGACATTTAGTCTGTGCTTTCTTTTTAGCCTGTTCCCCAGTAGGATGCATGGAAGACCTTGGGAAAGACAGCACAAAACTGCACTTGGCGAATTTTACTGCAACATACAAAAGACATTCCCCCTCTCACCAAACAGCAAAACTGTTTGCCATACGACATCTTCCCCTTTACCAGGAGATATAAAGGTTTTATCAGAGAAAGCAGTTCTCCAATCATGGACAGATAATGAGCGATCCATTCTTCATGATGGTACTAACTTTCAGGAACACAACTCTTATGGCAGAAATTCTCTGGAAGATAATTCTTGGGTATTCCCAAGCCCTCCTAAATCAAGTGAGACAGCATTTGGGGAAATGAAAAATAAAACTTTGCCTTTACCCAACCTAACACCACTTCATTACTTGGATCAACATAATCAAAACTGTCTTTTTAAGAATTAATTCTAAAGAGATTCGTGACTTGGTCATGAGGTTACTGTATCTCAGAGGCTCTCTCAAGAAATTATTTAACAAACTGAAAGCAGATTTTGATTAAACTTTTGCAAGAGTTCTTCAGTATATACATTTGCACATACTGTTCCACATTATGTAGTTGATTTTCCAGTATGAAAGAGTACCCTCCAACTCCCATGTTCTGGCTAAGAATCAGACATATGCTACGGATTAATAAATAAGGTGTTTCAGAGACCGTTGTACCTTCGATAGTAATTGTAAATAACAGCCTCTCACATAAAGAATGGAATTAAAGTTTTTTAGACATGGTTTTATAAAGCATGTGAAATGCCTAAATACCCATTCATAAAAATAGGCCATTAATATCTGAGAAAAAATGTAAGTCGCTTTAAGTTGCAAAAAAAGAACAAAAGGCAAAATGAGTAGGTTATGTTTCTATTGACCTTGTATTGCATAAAGATGAAAATTGTTATAGTTGAATAACAGTGTCTCTTACAGGTTATTCCATCTCCATATGCTATTGTGTTTCAAAGTTTAAGACTTAAAATCGTTTTTTAATACGTGTTAAGACTTGAAATAACCTGATCATTGAAGCCAACTTTGTCCCATACATCCTTCAGAGCCTTACTGAAAAAAAAGTGATAGTTGAAAAACTATGTGGTGTGTAAAGTACTGTATTTCTATATTATTCAATTAGAAGTAGAAAGAGCACCACAGAGGTTTCAGTCTAAATCTGTGCCTTCGTGGTCCATAAGTAAAATTTATATAATGTAACTGGATAAAGTCATTTTTTTCAAAGGGTCTGTACCTACTTGTTATGTAGAGCAACTTAAAAATTGTTACTTTTTTTGAAATTTAACATTTTAGTCATTGAGATAGTGATTTTTTTTTCTTTAACCAAATTAGGAATTGTAATTCTATAAACCAAACTCTGTGCTGTATTGATATAGTACAATCATGAAATGTTCCCAGGCTTTATGATTCTAAGTGGCTTATCATTTATAAACAAGGATATAACAAGGATGGCTTCACATGGAAATCTATCTAAATTCTTTCAGGGTGGTGGTATTAACATATTAGTAATATAATGTATTAGTAGGCTTGTACATCTTTTGCCTGAGATAAAGTGTTTCATGTAGGAGGCCTTTATCCTTTTTGATAGACAGTTTCAAATATCTTGTACTCAAAAGAATATCTCTGATCTCTTCTATATTAACTGAATAGCATACATACATAAACAATGTTCACCGTTCACCAGATATTTTTGTCTTTCTATTATCTTACTCACTTATTCAAGCTTGTCTCTGATTAATGGAATTGGTGTCAGATGCTGGAATTTATTCTGACCAATGAACACAGCTGACTCCAGGGAGTACAATCTCCTGCCAAGTAATAGAACAAAACCCAATATGCATAAAACAAATACAAGACTCCAGGCTTTAGCTAAAGGAAGCAACTACCTGTGTAATAACAAAGCAGCAGGAACTATTTCTCATGTGGCTGCATAGGCTGTATATTCTATAGAATCCCTAATGTAGCTTGCTGGTTTGCCTTTCTTAAAACCAAGGTTGGAAACTTCTTTGTAAAGAAGTCATATGAGATAATGGCTTGATTAATGTTTTGAACAAGGCCAAGAAATTAATTAAAATAAATTATTTTTGTTTGAAATTGAAGCAAACGTGAAATACTGTCCTTGCCTATGTGTTCCAGGGTCAGGTAGTAGTTGTTCATTCGATTCGTGTAACAGGCATTCGTCTTATTAAACCAACTTCTTTTAAGTGGAAAAAAAGTTCTTCCATCTGAGCAAGAGGGTGGCTATCAAACATGTATGCTCTCAGAAATCAGGGGTTGATGTTCTTTACCGTGTTAAGTACTAAATAAATGATATGTAAGACTCTTTAGCAAAGATTAACCAAAAAATCTGTTACCCTGCCACAAATTTTTATAATGCGTGCTTTATAATCGTCTCTGTTCCACATAAGATTCAAAGAGAAATGAGAATGGCCCATCTGTAGTTGATAATCTATTTGAGATGGTGGCGGGGAGGAAGAGGGAGAAACTCCAGCAGACTCCCTCCTGTGTGTGAAGTCCGATGTAGGGCTGGATCCCAGGACCCTGAGATCATGACCTGACCTGAGACCAAGATGCTCAACTGACTGCACCACCCAGGCGCACCCCTGAGATGGAACATGGTATGTTGACAATACCACTTCTTTCATACTGTTTGAAATTTGCTCCAAAAGGCTTCTCTTGAAAATGTCTTTAATCCTTAGATTTGTGTAACCCAGTTCAGCATTTATACAACACAATGAAGAGGACACAAGTAACTACAAAAAGCCACTTAACTCCTTCCTTTTGATCTACTATTCATGAAAATAAAATCTTCATCTTCTCTAAAAGGAAACTGAGATTTTTCCAAAATGGAACCCAATTCCTAAGCAGAGCAGGGGCATACCTATGTGAAACATTGAAAACCAAGTAAATAGGGAAAAAATCAAACTTAAAGACTTAAGATCAAATCACACAAAACCAGTAATGATCTGATCTGGAAAGGCTACACTGACAAGGGTGGATCTTTAGTGGAAAGAAAATCTGTGCACTCTTTCTTAACAGAATAGTATCACCCAGAGGTCTGCGTGAGCAAGACAGACTACAACTGAGGCAGCTGTACTAAGAGAAGTAGACAAGTATGGTGGTGAGGCATGGATATCTTGAAAGCTGTGGTAAATGGTTTAGTTCCTGACATAATAGAGGAGTGAACATATTTCTATAACCTACTGTCTGGCACCTGTGAGGAAAGTGACTCTACATACATGAATTTTCCACATAAACTTGAAGGTGGCTCCTCTGATTCTCATCCAAATTATAAATTAGCCACAGATTATATATTTCACTAGCTTTTGCAAACTGTCTGCCTTTTCTTCATTTGCATCGTTAAAAACAAAAATTAAGGCCCTGTGCTCTAGGAAATGTACCAATACCAAAAGGCCAACAGAAGAATATAGGCTTGTTTACCCCTATGGTATGTGGTCTCTAGGTTTCTATATTTGCTTTGCTTTTGTCTGCTCTAGTAATCTTCCTTTTGATCTGTGGCCTGGGAAAATGTGGTTTCTTTAGGTTTCAAATAACAGTTAAATAGTTATTTGAGCAGTTCACTTGTATGTTCAAGTAAGGAACTTGAACATCACATTGGTTTCCTACGATCCTATCTGCTTTAAGTTCTTTAAAAAAAAAAAATCTTCGAGCTGTTTAATGGGATTGGGGCAAAGTTAAATCTTGTCCTAGTATGTAGTAATTTCTATTTGTGATTTTAATGAGAACTATATATATAAATTTTACTTACCTGGAAACTGGTTTCAGCGGCTATAGTGAAGAGTTAACAGCCCATGGAAGAAAAGCAATTTTTAATATTAAACTCAACCTGGAACCAACTTATTGGTTCCAGGTAATTTTTTTTTACATTAGCTCCTGAAATCATTAAAATATTTTCAGCAGCCAAATTAACAGGTCAAGGAAATATAATTCATTTTAGGAAATTTTCCATCAAACTTGTAAGTAAAATTAAATTCATGTACAAGTACTTTTTCTTCATCTATTTCCAAATAATCATTTACTACTATTAATAACAACCATTAAAGAGCTATTTACCACATCTGAAGCACTGCCCTACATACTCTACTTACCTGCAATAATCCCCACTGTAACTATGAAAATTATTTCCATGGTTACATAACTAGTAAGTGACAGAACGAGGAAGGATTCTGATTCGTCACTATTCTGTCCTACGTTATTTACACCTTTGACAATTGTCCTTTCCAACTTTGATTACTTCTGGTCCCTATGATTAGCCATTAGTCTACACACTGGATGAAAGTAATATAAGGTCTATATACAACCCTAAAGCTCAGTATCACTGTTCTACAAATGTGATTGTGGAAAAATTTACAAAATATCCATGACAGCCATGTAGATCATATCCCATTTCACTATTTACCACTCCCATCCCTTTTGATAAACCTGACTTTGAAATTAAAAAAAAAATCTTTATTCCAGATAAAATTAATATTTCCATAACTTAGGACAAAGCAAATACTTCTTTGAGTCCATTATTTCAGGTGATGATTTCCAGGAGTATCAGAGCTTCTGAGTATCAGAGTGTTTGCCTACATGCTTGTAGGAAGCTTCTGCAGCCTTTTCTTGGAAGGAATTCCAGTTTTTCTGAATTCTTCTCTTTCCTTCAGGTATTCCATTTTGCATTCTTCATAAAATGCTGGATCATTATAACTACAAGAAGGAAATGAAAATCTTTAAAAAAAAAAAAACAAAAAAAACGAGGATCCCTGGGTGGCGCAGTGGTTTGGCGCCTGCCTTTGGCCCAGGGTGCGATCCTGGAGACCCGGGATCAAATCCCACATCGGGCTCCAGGTGCATGGAGCCTGCTTCTCCCTCTGCCTGTGTCTCTGACACACTCTCTCTCTCTCTCTCTCTCTCTCTCTCTCTCTCTCAATGTGTGCCTATCATAAATAAATAAAAAATTAAAAAAAAACAAAAAAACAAAACTCGGCAAGTGTTTAATACAAGCTTACTTTAGTAAAATTCCGACATTTCATCAGGTACAATCTTTAGAAGGTGATTTTAAGAAATGATCATAAATTTATTGCAAACATTAGGCTATTAAACTAGTTTAAAGGGGAGGGGAACCAGGACAGAGCAGTGAGCGGCACAGCACCTATCCTCAAGGAGCCTGTGAGGCTCTGGGAACAGACAAGTAAAGCCTGCACCACAAGGAAGTGTACAAAGCACTGTGTCGTAGGTGGGGCCCAGCGCACATGGAAACATTGGGAAGAAGCAGGGAGGGGACAGACAGCAAGCAGAAGTGTGGGAGTCGCACTGAAAGATCACATCCATCCATATTGGAGGTACACTGGATAGGCACCAAGATGAAAAACTGAGGCATGAAGAACGAATAAATCCGTTCCTAAGAGAAAGGGCCTGGGATGAAGCCAGATAGGGAAAGGGCTGTATCATGAAGGTCACTGTCACAAGAGGCCGGAATCTATGCTGAAGGCGACGGGACACTTAACAGAGCAACTCAAAGATCAGTTTTGTGTCTTAGACGAAGCTGACAGCATGTGGCCAAAAGGTGGCAGCAGGGTGAGAGGCAGGATGCCCAGTAAATAACTACCACAGTAATCCAGACAAGATTGATGAGGGCCTAAGCTCACTGAGAAGTTGTGATGAAAAGGACAAAATGGATCTGGAGAAGATTTGGGTAATGAAATCACTAGGAAATAACCATTTAGAGTTAGGAGACAAGAAAGACTCTAAATTCTAGACACATGATGCAGGAGGAAGAAAAGGAGGTAGTTCAGTTTGGGACCTGAAGAAAGCAAAAAACTCACGACCCATAGGAACCAAATCCATGGGTACAAACAGCTTTTGCAGGCATAAGCATGAGAGAAGAGGGCACCTGTTTTAAGGAATCAGTTAAGGAACAAAAGGCTGATAAACGAGATATTGGGGGAACAGGAAGGAGTATAAAAGGGATGCCAGATAAAAGGGAATTTTACATAATTTTTGGAGAGAGTTCAAGTAAAGAGTGAAATTCACTGCATCTGGCTACCATGAACCCATTAGAAACTTTAGGAGGAGCAATCTCAGTGGAAGGGGGCAGAAGTGAGACTGCAGTTTATAGAGGAATGAATGATGATGAGACCAAAAGAGAATAAGCATTCATGTTGAAAAACATCACTAGGAAGAGAGAATGCTGTGGTTAACTTCATGGAATGTCAGTAGTAAAGCAGAGCACTTTATTCTAAGATGAAGAAACAGAGTGTTGAGACTTAAAGTCAAGTAAAATCCTTAAGTCCATTTACTTTCAGCAAATGTCACAACTCTCTATTTCCTTCACTTTCTCTTAAACAGAAGCAGCCTCCTCCAACTCTTCCCAGTGCCTTCCCCCAGAATAGACTACAAGCTCTTATTTTCTCCTATTTCCAGGGGAAAGAGATGAAAGGATATTAAATTATTAATATTCAGGTAACAAAAACTTAATACAATTTAGAAAGAGCTACCACTTATTGACTATCTACTATGTGCCAGGCACTGTTGTAATGAGTTTATGTACAAACCCTCACAATACTCCATGAGGAATAATTTTCCCATGCCCTGAGAGGAACTTGCCTGGGGCTGCACTGCACAGCTAGCTAAGCTCTGGCTGGGCCAGAGGGTAAGCCCAAGCTGGCCTCTCCACCGTTGGCACTCCTGTCCTTTTGCTCTAATGATGCCCGTCTCAGAGGCAGAGATAATACGGCAAACTAAGAACAAGTTATTATGATGGCTAAAACTAAGATATAAAAATTTAATATATAAAAGAGAATTTAAATCCAGTCACAAAGAAGTTTAACAGGTTCATTTATTCATTATACGTCTCTTGGGAGCATGAGGGAATAGAATTGAAGAAAAACAAGTTACAGAAGGAGCTTTTACTCCTCTATGATGAAATGCCTTGTGCAGGTCCTGGCCCATAAATAAGGGTGTGTTTCCTCATCTAGAAATGTAGGGATTAATTTAACCTCCAAGTCTTCTAGCTACAGAATTCCAAAATAAGTCTGTAAATTTAAATACCTATGTACATTGTATGCTATCAAAAACGAAAACAAATATTTGATTCAGATATATATTCTATACTTCCCTAAGGAAGCATCAAAACATGCTGACCTGTACGTTTCACAGGCTAGAGAAGCAGAGTATAGAAGGAAATAAGAGATAACCAAAACTAAGACCTCACAACGGCCAGTTAACAATACTAAAGTATTCTGCAATACTATCAATAATGTAGACAATAAAAAAATGGGGAGATAAAACAGAAAGCACTTGGGGCGTCTGGGTGGCTCAGTCAGCTAAGCATCTGATTCTTGGTTTTGGCTCAGGTCAGAGTTGTGAGACTGAGCCCCACATCGGGCTCTGAGCTCAGCATGGAGTCTGCTTGAGATTCTTTCCCTCTTGGCCCCACACCTGCTCATGCTTGCACATGCACTCTCTCTAAAACTAAGCTCTTTAAAAAAAAAAAAAAAAAAAAGGAAGCACTTGCATTCAAAGAACTTTGCAAATTTTAATTATAATATTCAACTAAATGTCAGTGAACATGATATTTAAGAATTATTTTTAAATTGATTAACTTCAAAAATCTAAAATTACCTTTGTATCCTTCATTTGATTATAACTTCCCAAAAGTGAAATTCTATTAATCCCCAAATCACAAGGCTGACAAATCATCTAACTCAATACTTTTTCATTAGAAGAGACAAAAAAGCCCACCTATAATATACTCTACAGATCAATCTGTTCATGAAAAGGAATTTGCTAAGTCATATGGAAAATCCTGTATTTTTGTTTGCTGACCTCATATTCTTAATCAGATACAATGTTAGCTCACATACCTTGACAAGATCTTTAATATGTTGCTTAATATTTAACAAACTGAAATCTCAGACTCAACTAAAAATATCAAAGATTTTATGGGGCAAACTACAGAATCTAGTACATGTAAGATTACCTACTACATATATTACATGCTCTTACCTACAACATATATTATATGCATACACACAGAGCAGCACGAACAATGTGGTGACTACTCACTGAGCAGTTAGACATTCTTTCAATGCAGAATTTTCTTTCCGGCATTTTACTACCATAAGGATTCCAGAATCCTTGCAACATCTGGTAAAATCTGAAAAAGTGGAGAGAAAAAAAAAGACTTGCAGTTACATCAAAGATTTATTCGAGAGAAAGAGCAAGAGAAAGAGACAGAGCGCACACACATGGGGCTGAGGTGCAGAGGGGCGGGGGGAGTCCCAAGTACATTCTGTGCTGAGTACGGAGCCCAACACGGGGCTTGATCCCACAACCCCAAGATCATGACCTGAACCGAAACCAAGAGTCATCCGGTTGTTCAACCAACTATACCACCCAGGCACTCCTAATTTTTAACAACTCTAAAATACTCATCAATTTAACATCTCTTACCCAGATTGTGCTTGGCACATAATACACACTCCACAACAGACATGCACATGAATAAAAGGCAGAATAGGACAAATGCCATTAACTGCAGAAATAAAGGATGAACTCCAAAAGAGGGGAGAGAGGATCTCTGAAGAGGCCTCACGGAGATAGAAGGGAAGCAGAGAATAAGTTAGATTTCTAACAGAGAAAAGGGATATCTTTTATGAGTATGAGAGTAACAGAGGAGTTGTTTCCAGACACAGGCAACTGCTGTCTAGTCTCTGCATGTCACCTGATGGCACCCCCTTTAGGACAATCCTGTCATAGGGCCTTAATACCTGGTAATAGGGGTCCCACTCCATTCCTAAGTCAACTCTTAGATGCCCCTGAAAACCGCTTTCTAATTTCCATTCTGGTGTTTGCCTTTTAAGTTGTACTGAGCCCTTGGCATCCTGCCTCCTCAGCACTCTCACCCCAACCATAATCCAGTTAGCTTCGGGGCAGACTCAGTCCTGCCTTATTCCTTCCACAGGACAGTGCGCTTCGCGGCAGCTACTCCCCTACTTGTCCACTGGCTGCTCTAGTCTCAGCTCTGCCATTTCCAACCTGCTGTAAGTAATCAACCATTTCCACATCAGACTAAAATACACTATCTTCCTCACAAAGAAGGTGTAGGTAAAACATGTTTTCTGAATCTTTTATAACTCCTTTAATGCAAAATTAAGATTTCCCTCTTTTCTTGAGTTATGCATTATCCTTCTGGTTACTAAAGAATGTAATTTGTAATTATCTTAAAGCAAGCAGGTAAAAAAAACAAAAAAAAACAAAAACAGCAAGCAGGTAATTCAGGGGTCTCCAGAAGACAGGTAATACATACCAAAAATATTTTTAAACCCAAGCACACTGGAAATGATTGAGATTTATTAAATGCATAAAGAACTCATCAGAAGGGCTTTGCTGGACAAGAGCCCTACAAAACAGACATCTGTATCTATCTGAAGTGTCACAGCATACTCTGAAGGGTAAGTGGTAAAATGGGGACAAGGACAACAGATGCAGGAAATTAATTCAAATTTTTAATGTGTGTGATCGCATGAAACTGGGTGACATGCAATAACACTCCACATCAAAGACACACAGCATGAGCTTCCTGTAGCTGCTTCTTCTCCACTGCTGGCAGTCCCACCGTTGCTCTCTGATGCCTGAACCCATCAGGTGTCTTTCTTTACTTCACCTACAGACATTCTGTCCCACTTCGTGCACATGAGCTGGACTCAGGAGCCAAATGAGACCAAGGCAATTGCCTTTGTGACCTTGACTAAGGACTTCCTCCAACTCAGAAAGGCAAAACAGACTTACAATCAGCTCACTGGAGATAAGTGGAGATGCTGAGGGGTGGCTGGCTACATGGCTCTCAGAAAGCCCATTAACTCTCACTCTGGAATGTAATTAGTATTCCTATATGTGAATTTTTCTATTTACAGCATGATATTAAGATCTACTTTTTACAAGCAACAGTTAGGATTCTGAGTAAGAATTAAGACCTGGGAACCCAGTTTGTGGGACATCTGGGTGGCTCAGTTGATTAAGCATCTGCCTTCGGCTTAGGTCATGATCTTGGGGTCCTGGGATTGAGCCCCGTAACAAGATTCCTGCTCAACGGAGGTCTGCTTCTCTCTCTCCCTCTGTGCCTCCCCCCCTACTTGTGCTCAAGCCCTCTCTCAAATAAATTTAAAAAATCCTAAGGCAAAAAAAAAAAAAAAAAAAAAAAAAAGACCTGGGATATCCTCAAAGGGAATATGTACATAAAGTTATCCCAGAAGTGACTAAAGCTGGCTAAGGTCTTCTTTAAGGGAACTGCCACATTCCATAGTGGTGAAGAACCATGGACTGATTGCTCTGCATCACCCAACCTTACTGTAACCTCACTAGACCTGCCGCAGACCAGTTCATGCTAAGATAGTGTCTAGAAGAAAAATCATTAGCATCATGAATTTGCCTAATGAAAATACACTAGGTGATCAAGACCTTCCTTTCCTGGAAATGCAAACACAATGGCTATTATCAAAAGTCCACTTTCTGAGTTTAATAAACCCAATACTTTTACATTTGATAGATCACAACATAAAGCTTAAACACTATTATTTTCAGATCCATTTTTCCTAATATGAATAAAAATATTCTTGATAGGGAATTGATGTAAGATAGCATTTACGTGTTCTGACCACAATAAAGGCACAGTCTATATATTTTCACACTTGTCCACATCTCTTCAGGAATAACCGTGACTGGCCTATAGCCTCAAGCTGTTTGTAAGGTTTTTGTCACTTGTTTAGCTACAAGATTTTAATGAAGATCTTGCTTTCATACCATATTAGCATACGTTCATATAATAATGATGTTGCTAATACTGCCAACTGATTTCTAAAACAGTATTCTAAAAAAATAATAAATAAAAATAAATAAAACAGTATTCCAAGGCATCCAAATAAATTCTTTGTCTTCCAATGCTAAATGTTATAAAGCTTAAATGCTCATATATAATATTACCATTAAAGATTATGAAAACAAAAGTTCATGCATTTAAGCATATCTTAAGGAAATGCAAATGAATATCAATAAACAAAAACAGAGATTAAAAAATTATTTCAAAATTTAAGAACCTAAAGAGAGCATTTAAGACTTTCTTTAAAATGTCAAGAACCTGGCACCTATTCTTCTCAAACTATTCCCAAAAATAGAAGAGGAAAACTTCCAAGTTCATTATACAAGAACAGTATCACCCCGATACCAAAACCAGATAAAGGCACTACAAAAAAGGAAAACTATTGGCCAGTATCTCTGATGAACATAGATTCTTAAATTCCCAATAAAATATAAAAACACTGATTCCACAATACATTTAAAAATTCACAATAGTGGGATTTATTCCAGGGATATAAGAGTGGCTCATTATTCACAAATCAATCAATGTGATAGATCACATTAACAAGACAAAGGGATCAAAAATCATTTGATCATCTTGACAGATGCAGAAAAAGCAGCTGATAAGATGTAAGAACAAAGGAGGTTCAAAGGGAACATACTTCAACATAATAAAGGTCATATATGAAAAATCCATGGTTTATATCATACTCAATGGTGAAAAACAGAGCTTTTCCTAAAAATCAGGAACAAGACAAGGAAGCCCATTCTGCTTTTTTTCAACACAGTTCTGGGAGTCCTTGCTATAGCAATCAGACTAGAAAAATAAATAAAAGGTATCCAACTTGGTAAGGAAGAAATAATACTATCACTATTTGCAGATGACATGATATGGTACACAGAAGAACTTAAATACTCCATCAAAGAACTATTAGAAGTGATAAATGAATTCGGTAAACTTGTAGTATATAAAACTAATACACAAAAATTGGTTGTGTTTCTGATAATGAGGTAACAGAAACTAAAACCATTCCACTTACAATTGTACCAAAAAGAACAAAATATGTAGGAATAAACTTAACCAAGGAGGTGAAAAAAACCTATACCCTGAAAACTATAAAACACTGAGGAAAGAAATTGAAGACAACACAAATGGAAAGATATTCCATGCTTATGGATTGAAAGAATATTGTTAAAATGCCCATAATACACAAAGTGACCTACAGATTCAATGCAATCCCTATCAAAATACCAATAGCATTTTTCACAGAACTAGAACACATAATCTTAAAGCTTATTTGGAACCACAAAAGAACCTAAATAGCCAAAGCAATTTTGAGAAAGAACAAAGCTAGATCACAGTCCCAGACTTCAAGTTATAATATAAAGCTCTAATAAAACAATATAATACCGGCATAAAAAACAGACACAAAGATCAATTAAACAGAATAGAAAGCCAAGAAATAAACCCACACTTATACAAACAATTAATCTTTGATAAAGGAGGCAAGAATATGCAATGGGGAAATGACATTCTCTTCAACAAATGGTGTTGGGAAAACCAGAGAGCTATATACAAAAGAATGAAACTGGACTACTGTCTTATACCATATACAAAAATAAACTCCAAATGGATTAATGGCCTAAATATGAGACTTGAAACCATAAAACTCCTAGAAGAAAACATTAGCAGTAATCTCTTTGACATCAGCCTTGGAAACATTTTTTTTTTTTTTTTAAGATATGTCTTCTGAGGCAAGGGAAGCAAAAACAAATATAAACTACTGGGACCAGATCAAAATAAAAAACTTCTGCACAGCAAAGGAGACTATCAACAGAATGAAAAGGTAACCTACTGAATGGGAGAAGATATTTGCAAAAATTTGATATTTAAAAGAAATGTAAAAGCTTAGGGGGATATTCAGATTCATTATGTCCATCTGTTAGAAAATTAAATAAGATGTGATTCTAACAAAGAGCATTTAGTATGTAGCTCTTGGAAGAGACAGGACTTCTACTTATGAAAAACCAAAAGGCAATGATATATTAATACTGCGCAGGTTTTAAAATGGTTCTTGGATATTTTCTAGGGAAGACTGCAGAGTAGGAAGAATCTAAGCTCACCTTGTCCCACAATACAACTAGATAACACTGACATCAGTTGAAAATGATCTCAAGACTGGCAAAACAAACCCTGCATTGAAATGTAGAGAAGAGGCCACCTGAAGGAAGGTAGAAAGGGTGGAGACATGGTGGGGAACTAAATGGACCTATGGGACTGTCCATGGGAGAGAAGGATAC